TGGGTGGCTCAGTCGTTAAGCGTCTGCCTTCGGCTCAGGTCATGATCCCAGGGTCCTGGGATCGAGCCCCGCATCGGGCTCCCTGCTCTGCAGGGAATTTGCTTCTCCCTCTTCTGCTGCTGCTCTCCCTGGTCCTGCACTCTCTCTCTCTCTCAAATAAATGAATAAAATCTTAAAAACAAACAAATAAACAAAACAGGTTGGTCTAAGGGCCCAAGGCACAAGATAAGGATAGCCCAGGTAGTACCACGGTCGGGTACTTAATTACTGTGCTGCATTTAGAGACATGTCTGTATAAATAATTCAAATAATAGAAGGAATGTAGACTTTAAAAATGACCAATCTGCAGCCACCACATAATTGATTCAAGTAAGAATGGGTGTTAAAACTGTTGAGTAAAATTGGGGCAGCAGGGAAGGGGTGCACCTATGATATGTTTATAGGCTTAAAGTATCTCCCCACAAGATACATGTTCATTACCAAGGAAGAGTAGCAGCTTCATGGTTTCGTGGTGGAGAAATCTAGTAGACATCAGCTTAACCAAATGATCAAATTTTTTTACAAATAAATTTATTTATTTATTTTTTAAGATTTTATTTATTTGAGAGAGAGAGAATGAGAGAGAGCACGAGAGGGAATAGGGTCAGAGGGAGAAGCAGACTCCCCGCTGAGCAAGGAGCCCGATGTGGGACTCGATCCCGGGACTCCGGGATCATGACCTGAGCCAAAGGCAGTCGCTTAACCAACTGAGCCACCCAGGTGCCCACAAATAGATTTATTTTTAAGTAATCTCTACAACAGGCTCAAACTCACAACCCTGAGATCGAGAGTCGTACTCTACAACTCAGCCAGCCAGGAGCCCCCAGCAAGTGATCAAACTTAACATCACTGGTAGTGGGGCAAGCCGACCTCAGGAAATTCCAGATGCACTCAGAAGGACACAGCATACTTCTGTGGTAGCTGCAGAAACAATGAAAATCCAAATTGAGGGTCATTTGACAAAATAACCAGCCTGTACTCTTCAAAAATGTCAGTGTCTGGAAGGACAAAGAAAGCCCGGAGACATTCTTTCAGATCTTCAAAGAATAAGGAGATGTGACAACCAAGTGCATTACAGATTGGACCCTAGAATGAAGGGGAAACCGCAGAGAGGTGGCCCTGGAATAGTTGGCCACATTTGAATACAGACAGACTGTGGAGTAGACAATGATATTGAATTAACATGAACTTTCCTGAATTTGGTAAGTACATTCTGGTTATGAAAGAGAATATCCTAGTTTGCAGAAAATACACAGTGGAAGTTTGTAGGAGTGAAGGTGCACAAGGCAGCAACTGCCTCTTAAAAAGTTCCACACAAGTAATAAAAATAATAATGTAGGAGATAAAAACAAAGTGTACGTGTCAAAGCTTCACAGGTAGTGGAGGATCACTCAGGTTGATGAGCGCAAGGAGATTTGGGGAGAGTGGGGTGCTCAGAGGAGGCATGGACGCTCCACCTTCCCACCTTCCATGGAGCTATTCTTGAGTTACATTCTTTTTTTTTTTTTT